TTTTTTTTTTTTAGTTTGTTACTCAGATGCAGGCAGTGCGCTGCATGAGACAAAAAAGTAATATAGCCAAAATAACCACATAGCCGCTCTTTAGTGTTAGATGCATGTTGATTTTATCAGACGATGCCGCGATTATAAATGAGAGTGACTCCTGGTTAACATTAAAAGGGGTCATGTTTAGTGTGGTATTTTTTGACAATATTCACTCATCATGACAGTAAAATAGGGCATTCTAAGTCAATATACTGTAGTATTTCCTCTCTCTCAATCAGTAGAAAATATGGTTAACACCCGGTTATGCATGATATACCGTCATGTACCGTGAAACCGGTATAATTTTGAAAAATACCGTGATATATATATTTGGTCATACCAGCACTATATCTAAACATAACATAAATACATAGATATCAACCTATTAGCAAATATATAGATGGATACAAATTTATGTGAAAGAATATCTATCAATTTATCAATACATCTATCCAACAATCCATACACCTGTCTACCGAAATATCTACCATCTATGTATCCATCAACACATCTTTGTCTACCGATCTACATACCTATCCATCAATCTATCTATTTACCTATTCATCCACCTAAATATCTGACCACCTATATATCTATCCACCTACATATCAATCCATCTACCTATTGACATATCTATTTGTCAAGCTGAATCTCTACCCATCCACATATTTATCCATAAACCTAATTATTGTTCTTTCTACATATGTATCATCGACCATCAACAACTCTCTCTCTGTCTACCCATCTACATACAGTGGGGCAAAAAAGTATTTAGTCAGCCACCAATTGTGCAAGTTCTCCCACTTAAAAAGATGAGAGGCCTGTAATTTTCATCATAAGTATACCTCAACTATGAGAGACAAAATTAGAAAAAAAAATCCAGAAAATCACATTGTAGGATTTTTAAAGAATTAATTGGTAAATTCCTCGGTAAAATAAGTATTTGGTCACCTACAAACAAGCAAGATTTCTGGCTCTCACAGACCTGTAACTTCTTCTTTAAGAGCATCAATCTACCAAAATATACATACATCTATCAGCATATCTAATTGTCCAGCTAGATATCTACTCATCTAAATCAATTTATAAACACATTTATCCAACTACCTAAATAACTTCTCATCTACATATCTATCTATAAAGCAATCTACCTGAATATTGATCTTTCTATATATATATATCCATCGACCTATCAACAAACCTCTCCATATATCTACCCATCAATATCTATCCATCAATCTATCTACCTAAATATCTATCCATCTAACTATTCACACACACATACATTATATATATATATATATATATATATATATATATATATATACACTATATAGTTCAGCAAGGATGCATTAAACATTTAATTGATCAAAAGTGACAGTAAAGGCATTTATAATAATATATATATACACTGTATATTCACCCATAGTATCTATCCATCTACCCAAATATATACCATCTATACCATAATCTAGGTAGCATTTACCCACCAACATTTCTATCCATCTACCTAAATATCTACCCATCTACATATCTATCTATCCATCAATCTATCTACCTAAATATCTATTTGTCCACCTTAAATATCTACCCATCTATCCAACTACCTAAATATCTAAATATCTACCATCTACACATGTATCCATTGACCTATCAACACATCAACACATTTAGGTCCATCCATCTAACTATCTACATATCTATTCGTTCACCTAAATATCTACCCATCTATATATCTATCACCACATAAATAAATATATCTACATAATCTCTCTCTCTCTCTCTCTATATATATATATATATATATATATATATATATATACCCATCTATATATCTATTCATCTACCTAAATATCTGCTATTTATCCATCCACCTACCTGTCCATCCACCTAAATATATACCATGATCTACTGACCTATCTACCTACCTGCCAACATATCTATCCATCTACCTACCTACCACCATATATAAAGCTGATATCTAACTACCAACTAAAAATGTCTACCTTTTAACATATCATATGCATTTACAGTACTTATATATCAACATATATATCCATCTACCTAAATACCCACAAAATGTCAATAAAAAAACAATAGATATATTGTTCATAACAATAAAGACAGTAAAGCATGTGCACACTTTCTGGTTGTCAAACTTAGTACAACAGGTCCATAGTTCATGTATACGAAACGTCTACTGTATCTTTACCTTCTCTATCTATCCATCTATCTATCTACTAAATATCTATCCATCTATCTATCTATCCATCCATCCATCCATCTATCCATCCATCAATCTATCATGAACTTCAGTAAGCAATGATCTCAAGAATGCTAAAATGTATTAACTATGAATACATTTCTTATTAATAGATTTTTCATTTTGTGCCTTTCTGGAGTGATTTTCAAAAGATAGCGTAAAGTGTCTTATAAAAGCCTGCTAAGTTATAAATAAAGAGGATATAGGACGTTGCTGAGCAGGTACTTCCTGGACTTCTCATGCCGGAGTATCGCTGTGGTCAGACGAAGGTAATGAATCTGGAGGACAGAGAAAGAAAACAGATTTCAAGAAAGCTCCCATCTGTTAAGCACTGGCTGCCACAGTAATAATTTGGATCAACATGTTGCCAATTCCCTCTCACAACTGTGGACATCAAACAAACTCATCAAACACATTACAGCAAGCTCAAAACAAAGTGCCTCAGTCATTTTAATTATAACAAGACATTTATTTGAAGTGGGACGGGCACACAGACCATGTCCCTGCTGATAATAGCCATGAACATCAATGGGCCAAGAGGACGCCAACACCTCTCAGCCTCTGATTAGACAAAAAAGCAGACGTAAAGCGTGAACATGCTTTGAAGTACGAGTTCCCAGCATGCTCCTATAGGCTCCTCGGAAAGAATGTTTTCTTTATTCCTTCCTGTCAGCGGCTCAATCGTCCTCAGCACCAATAAACTTCGACATAACGTTACAACAGCTTGGAAAATGGATTTGCATGAGAGAGCAATCATAGGGTTTCTCACCTGAAAGCCCAGATCAGGGATGATGGGAGAGAAACGATACGCTCTCAGCAGAGACATCATCAGCTGCTTCAGACACTCGCTCACCTCGTGGTCCTTCAGGAGGAGAAAACAAAATACAATCTCGGCAGAATGAAACGCATCTTCTCAAATCTCATTCTAGAAAATGCCTTTAAATTGAACTTTTTGAGTCTGTACCTCCATGAGAAGCCAGAAAAGATCCAGCAGCTGTTGTATAAGAGGATGTTCTTCGACAGACCCTCCACCCTCCAATATACTCAACAGGAAGTTCATCAGCACATCCTCCACTAAGTACACTTTGCACTAGCAGACACACACATTAGCCATGAATAAAGCGGGTTATGAAACAATGACAGTTGTTTTCCTGAAACTCTGAGTGATTTACCATGAGAGGTGCAAAGTGGTTGAATATATGTGCAAGGGTGACCAGGATGGTGGGATCTCCTTGAATCTGCCAGGTTCCACTGTCTCTCTCCACAAGCTTTTCCTCCTGATGAAAAACAAAATCAAACGTCTTCTCATTGAGATCATTTTGTTTTAAATATTGATGCATCACACTAATCTGAAGCAGCACGCCGTGTGGTCAGAGTGAAGCCCCTGTAGGTACCTGTGTGTCGATGGAGGTGGACAGGACTGTCTTGAGGTATCCCAGAAGCCTGTTGGCGTTGATGAGGTCAGTGGTTGGTGGGCTTTGAAGAGGAAGGTAACCTTCCACAGGGTATGTGAGGAACACATGGGTTAAGGCTTTTAGGGGTTTGTGGTTGGTCTGTCTATGGTTTCACATGTTTTGTTTTTATAGTTTAAGGCTATAAAAGGCAAACTCAGTTCCTGGAGGGCCGCAGCCCTGTATAGTTTAGTTCCAACCCTGCTCCAACACACATACCATGTAGTTTTCAAATAAGCCTTAATGACTTGATTAGCTGGATCAGGTGTGTTTAATTAGGGTTGCATCTAAACTGTGCAGGGCTGTGGCCCTCCAGGAACTGAGTTTGACACCCCTGGTTTAAAGTCTACCTAAAAACATGAATTATGTTAAATGTGTATATATGTTTAGGTATTTCTAATAAATATATTACATATTAAATTTGTTACAATTTAAATGTATCTACTTTTATTCTGATATCTTATAAATCTATTTTTAATTTATTTTCAAGTTGTACGTGAAATAAATAAAGAGTTTAGTTCCAAAACGTGATAAACGCCTTTTTTTTTTTTTTTTTATTGAGTTTCCTCCAAAATCAGTATTGTATCTGGTCGGTACTGAAAATGTAGCACTAGTCAACTAAATGAATGTAACATGGCAAAGATGAATGCACTTTTGGAAGTTGAAGGCAAGGGAAATGTCATTTTGGAATTTCTGTGGTTTAATGTGATATTGTTGTTCATGTATGTTCATGATTAAATTTTCTTTTAGTGTTGTAATTAATTTATAGCATTATTAGACTATTAGATTCTAACTTTTATATTGATTCAATGGATTTATTGAATTTGGGGGAGGGGGCATGTCATGGATTTATAGCATTTTGGGGGAAAAAATAATAAAATTTTATAATAAATCTTTGAAAATCTAAATCTGGATTTTAATTTTTTATGTTATTATAACCTAAAGATGCTATGTGAAAGTTTGAAACAGAAAATAGTGGTTTTCATCTTGCCACTTTCTTGGAAAACACATTTTTACTCAAATTAATCAAAATGGATTTATAGCATTTTGGAACCAAACTCTTCAAATATTACATTATAAGTCAATAAACACATCATATTGAATGTAAATATATATGATGAATTTTCAATAAATAAACTGAATTATATTATTAAAAATAGACCACTTACATGTTATAATTTAAATATGCATCTACTTTTATCCAAATGTCCTATAAATAATATTCAATGTTTTACTTGAAATAAATATATTATTATTCAATTAAAAAAATATATAAAAACATAAACAATGTATTTATAATAAATATATTACATTATATTATTAATAAATAAAACAATGAAATATTAAATTTTTATATATACATCTACTTTTATTCTGAAATCCTATGAATACATTTAAGTTTCAAGTCGTATTTGGAAATATTGGGTAATTACATTATTCTTCAATATATAAAAAATATATATAATTACACATTTTACAGTTTTATGCTGTATTTGGAAGAATCAAACTCCGTTACAATATGTTAATTATTAAAATAAAGTATATAACATATGGTATATTATATATATATAATATACATATATATATATATAAATAAATGCAAGTACTTGAAAATCCTAAATAATATTAAGTGTAATAATATTAAATATATGTGTGTGTGTGTGTGTGTGTGTTTATATAAAACTGTAATGTATAATATATGTACTTCATTTATTCTGAAGACCTACAAGATAAATTATTTTATGTTTGCACATTTTATAATAAATTAAAATGAATATTATACACATTACATAAATGTGACATAACCATATAAAAACTGTTTGTACATGCATAAAAATAATAAGGATATCTGAGAGGACGGCTGCCGAAATTAAAGGCTACAGATTCTTTGAAGGAAAGGCTGATCGCAGGGAAATATGCGATGCCCGGCCCCGCCTTAATATTGCTGAACGCAACACCGAGAGACTGTCCATTACTGAAAACAAAAACAAAAAAATACTGCTATTAACACCAGTTCACAGATATTTCAGTTTCTCATGCTTTCATACCAAACTATAACGTACATCCAATGATAAAACTATACTTACAGACAAAACGTAATGGTTCCCTCATCCAAATCTATCAAGCAGCTGACGATATCACCAGCAGCCCAGGACTAAAGCAAAAGAAATGACAAGAATCAGTAACGAGAGGCTTTATATTTACCATTAAAATCACTACTATGTATGGCCTTGAGTGGTTTAATGCTTTCATAAAAACATGACTCATCCAATCAGAATTTAGAGTCAGAACTTTTTTTTATAAGACTGTGCAAGTTACGTCACAATCTGAGACTTTAAACAAATGCTCGACGTCAAATAAAATTCACAAGCACAAATTGAGCCTGACCGCTGAACTGAATGTGTGAAGCGCTGTGTTTTCACCTTGCCGTAGTTGGTGGTTGTCACGTTCCATTTGCGGACTCTGTTTCCGTCATAAGCGTACGAGTCCGGCGTGTCCCCGACTCCTTCCTGAACACAAGCACAGATCCACAGCCGGTCGTATCTGGCAGTAATCGACTTGAACAAACCAATCTCACAGATGGATTAGGCCAAACCCAAGACTTCAAAAAGGATTTTGAGAGCAGAGCGAACAGTCGTCATGTAATCTAGATTAATCTACGCTATTTATGCGGCTTGGAAAGCTTCCCATGAGAGCTAGCTAACTATTAGAGTGAATATGCGGTTTGCACGGCTCTGCACTCCAAAAATTGACCTCTAAATGGTGAAGTTACTGGCTTGTACCTCTTGGTTGAATCTGCAGTTCAATGTGCACCATCCGATTTGCATTAGGCCTTGAGATGAGATGAGAACTTCGTAGACCCATTTCCCTGAAACCAATCAAAAGCAGTCAGAAACAGTACTGTGTTGGTACCATGGTATAGTCATTTAGTTTACATTTACTCCAACGTATGAAGAGCACCACAGAATTAGCATTTCACTATATGGTACGGTTTAGTTTTTGAAAGGCTACCTTTGTAAGCACATGTGGTGGCTCTGATGGAGCTGAAGTTACTGTGGCCAATGACCTTCGATCCAGAAAGAGAGGAGGGACAAAGCTGAACACATTTAACAGTAGACATCCAGATCTGTCTGGAAAAGTCACAATGAAAACTGGCCCCATTTGATTATGTAATACACTGTCCTGGTGTTATTGTGCACGATTCTTTGTGCAGACTGAACAAATCACTATCCAATCAATTTAATAATGAACTGACCTGAATTTGAATTCAAAGATTTACTTGTCAGCTAACCAATATGTGCAATCAGTGAAAAAAAAATTATAATAAAAAATAAAATAATAAATAAATAAATGTAATATACTTTCCTGTGTTATACATATATATTAGGGGTGTGAATCTTCACTGGTTTCACGATTCAATTACGATTATGTCAACAGTTCGATTCGATAACACGATGCGTCACATCCTCAATTGTAAATATTACTGCACATGGCTACATTTTCATATAAATTTTATGTCAAATTTATTTTGTGCAGTTTTATTAAATTATATATGCAGGCTACTTTTTAAAATAATTAAAAATTAATAATAAATTTAAACAATTGTTAAGAATTTAACCAACTAAATATAGCTTCAAATCATACACGCAAATATATATGTGTGTGTGTGTGTGTGTGTGTGTGAGAGAGAGAGAGAGAGAGAGAGAGTGTGTGTGTGTGTATTTTTATTTTTTTATCTCTCACCCCCAAAAGGTCATCGTCAACAAATAATAGCCCTTCAAACCCACTGCTGTGATCCAGGACGACAGTTGAAGGTCCAAGGCAGCCTTCTATCTGATCTGTATAGGAAAATAAATAAAAATGTAAATAAATGAATCTAATATATCATGAATATACTGTATAATAAATGTATTATACATCGTATAAATCGATTATGTAGATGTTTTCAGCCATGCTTTTATTAATCAACAAATACATAAATATTTAGGGGGTCTTAGACTACAGATAATTATGAATTTAACAAATATTTTATGAATTACAAGTAAATATCAATATATATTTGTATTATTATTTTAGCAAAGTCTTCTACGTTCCATTTTACAGTCATATGTGAGGAACTTAGGAACTCAGCTCTAGTGTTAAGAGTGTAAGTGTTTGTCCGACCTCTGCTGTCCTCGGTGACATTATCTTCAGCCAGCAGCTTCTCCAGATGAGCTCCGAGATCCTGGAACATCAGGGTTTTTCTACAGGGACAACCGAGTTCAACTGAGCCTCACATATAACAACATCATAACAGCTCACACACACTGAAGAGACTAGATCTAACTAGAAATACATTTTATTTATAAAGTAATTCATACATTTAACCCTTGTGCGCTCCTCATTTGGGAGTCACACTCAAAAAGCGGTTAAAAGTGACCGGACACCTGAAACTTTTTTTTTCTTCAGTAAAATCAATCTAATATATTTTGTTCAATAATATTTTTTCTTTTGTATTTTGAGAGAATTTTATGGTAATAATTAATATTTATGCAATAATTATCATCATTTTTTCCCACTGAAAATAGTACAAAAAAAATTCTCAGATTTTTACAAATAATCTTTCAATCAATGCAGTATCTCTGCTTAAAATAGAGACTAGGCCTTTAAAATCCTTTTTTTAAGGCAGATTAGCACATGAAAGCACAGAAAAACATGTAATTTCATGGTGTAACCACTAGATGCCTGTATAGGAATCTATAGAGAGGCTTTTGAATTCCCTACTTGTTTTTATACATAATTGTTTACTTTGATTAGTTTTTTCCCACTGAAAATAGTAAAAAAAAAAATCTCAGATTTTTACAAATAATCTTTCAATCAATGCAGTATATCTGCTTAAAATAGAGACTAGGCCTTTAAAATCCTTTTTTTAAGGCAGATTAGCACATGAAAGCACAGAAAAACATGTAATTTCATGGTGTAACCACTAGATGCCTGTATAGGAATCTATAGAGAGGCTTTTGAATTCCCTACTTGTTTTTATACATAATTGTTTACTTTGATTAGGTTGTGGATTTAAATGTACATTAAGGCATTCTCAAAGACTACTTTTTGTCAAGGTTTATATTTTTTGTTGTTTTAAATGTTGATTTGAAGCGTCAGTTTTTGAATTATTATTACTAGTCAAACCTGAATACAGAAAGCATTTTGTTATACAAAACATTGAAATTCTATAAAAATGAAACAAAAATAAACAGGAATGCTTTATCAGAGCTTAATCCTTCTGGCCCTGATCTGATTTTAACCTCTTATTTCAGTTTTCTGACTCATTTTGGCTATATGGTTATAGCCATACCAATTCATTTGAGTGTGTATAATTGTGTGTGTGTGTGTGTGTGTGTGTAAGTGAGTGTGTGTGTGTGAGTGGATGTGCCTGTTTTGCACTCTTGATGTTTTAGTGTAACCCCTTTCTTGCTGTCCACTTTTTTTTACTAAATTGGAGTTTAAATATTGATTTTATTTTACATAGTTGCTGTGTTACAGGCACACCAGTTCATAGGGGTGCGCGTGTGTGAGTGTTGATTTTGCACTCTAGATGTTTTAGAGTTTCACCCCTTCATTGCTGTGCAATTTGATGTGCCTGTTTTGCACTCTTGATGTTTTAGTGTAACCCCTTTCTTGCTGTCCACTTGTTTTTACTAAATTGGAGTTTAAATATTGATTTTATTTTACATAGTTGCTGTGTTACAGGCACACCAGTTCATAGGGGTGCGCGTGTGTGAGTGTTGATTTTGCACTCTAGATGTTTTAGAGTTTCACCCCTTCATTGCTGTGCAATTTTTTTCTGCATCGTGGAGGATTTGTAGATTGTACACACAAAAATTCTGTATTTTAAATTTTTTTGCCATTTCCCATTCATTTCCTATGGTTGGTCATTTTTGACCGAAGACCATGGGACCCTGAGAGTAAAGAGTTAAAGTTCTGGTGTTGAATTTCAAGAGACTAACACAGCTAGTTTAAACAGAAATTACAGTCAGTTAAATCTTATCATTAACACTGTGAATGTTATTACTTACATACGGGATATTTACGCGCCTAAACCAGCTGAAAGATTTCTCACAGACGCCATTCGAAATGCAATGCAGTGCAGACGCGGAGGTTGACTTTAACATGAAAACACCAGAAGTAGCCTACCTCATTTACGATATGTATTTTAATAACATCAAAACTTTTAAACTTTTCTCAGAGAGACATTTGACTCGCGATGCGGAGGAGACGCGGAGGTCGCTTTTAACAGGGTAAACATCTAAGGTAAGTGCTTTACCTCATTTGCAGTATATATTTTGCAACATGATACTGTGAAATCAAACCATTGTAAACGGCCCAAATCTAAAATGGCAAAATATCAGTCATTAGTTCTTGTGTGTCTCGTGACCAAATATCATGATATCAGTTTTGATGATGTTGATGTGTCGCTTTATTGGACTTGAGTGCTGTTTTCATTTAATTAATTTGAAAATAATTATTTTATTATAATAATTTATTATTATTATATATTATTCTGTACCGAGTTAATTAAATTGTTAATCATTCAAATGTTGTGCCTTCACAAGACTTATGGAACGAGTTGCATAAACTACTGACACTTTATTATCTTTTTCTTTTTAAGCATTAAAGTGTTTTGTGTTCAGCAAAAGTGAGTCGTATGGGTTTGGAATTACACTTTTGAGTAAACTATTCCTTTAATATTGTTACAGATGGTTCATGCTGGCTTAACAGAAAAATCAAAAGGAGCTGATGTGCTTGAAGAGTATATAGCCACCAATCGAGTGGAATGAGAAGAGCTCTTCAACACTGTTAAGACACATAACAGAGAAACACAGGTAAGCCTCAAGCCCACATTTAAGATTAAGACTGTTTTTAGTATGCTTGCTCTGTCACTTATTTATGTGCTGTCCCATACATGTGCACTCATTTTGATACGAGTCCAACCTCAACGTAGAGAAATCAGTATGCACTTGGAATTGTGAATTTGCTTCTGTTGTTAAAAGACCCATTTTCCAAAAGGTCTGACTTTCTTTTAACAGTGAAATAAATGATTTTCCTTAATTTGTTCACCTGAATTGTCATTTACTTATACTCACGTCATTCCACAGAAAATGTTAATTTAACACTGGGCAATGAGAATTATATAAACACCAGGATAGTGTTGAAATTAAATCACACAAAGTTAAATTAGGCCTAACAAAAGTATACAGCAGAACACACAAAAACAGAAACATCTAACAAAATGCATAGCAACGCCCTAGCAACCACCCTAACAAAACCATAGCAACATGCTAAAAGTAAAAAACACACCAAATACCTTAGCAACTACATAGCAACACCCTAACAACCACCTAAACACCCTAACAAAACCATAGCAGCATGCTAAAAGTAAAAAAACATATCGAATACATAGCAACACCCTATGAACCACCTAAAACAGTAAAAAAAAAACACTTTAGCAACTGCATAGACAACTAGCATTAAAAGCATTAAAATGAAGCTCTCAAATTTCTTCTAAGTAAAATATCTGTAAACAAATTGTTTACTGTCACATGGCAGCAATGTTTCTTTATACGGTGCTGACAGACGCCCATCATGACGCCTGACATGAAATCCAGCATTAGAGATGAAGATATGTAAACACATGAGCCGCTTCACTCCTCTGTGAGTGTCAGCTTTCTCTCATGTCCCATCATGCTCTATGTATAGATCATCAGCTCCAGTAACCAGACACTGGCTGGGATCAAGCGCGGGATGAAACACCACACATGACACCAGCACCCTCCACTCTGACACCTCATCAACACACCACTAATGCAGCAAACTTCATTTCTTCACGATCTATTACGATCAGCCGAATAAGTTACGAGCTTAATCCTTCTGGCCCTGATCTGATTTTAACCTCTTATTTCAGTTTTCTGACTCATTTTGGCTATATGGTTATAGCCATACCAATTCATTTGAGTGTGTATAATTGTGTGTGTGTGTGTGTGTGTGTGAGTGAGTGAGTGTGTGTGTGTGAGTGGATGTGCCTGTTTTGCACTCTTGTTGTTTTAGTGTAACCCCTTTCTTGCTGTCCACTTTTTTTTACTAAATTGGAGTTTAAATATTGATTTTATTTTACATAGTTGCTGTGTTACAGGCACACCAGTTCATAGGGGTGCGCGTGTGTGAGTGTTGATTTTGCACTCTAGATGTTTTAGAGTTTCACCCCTTCATTGCTGTGCAATTTTTTTCTGCATCGTGGAGGATTTGTAGATTGTACACACAAAAATTCTGTATTTTAAATTTTTTTGCCATTTCCCATTCATTTCCTATGGTTGGTCATCTTTGACCGAAGACCATGAGTGTGACTATTTTTTTTACGAGCACTTAGCTTTTTCGAATCATGCCCTCAATTTTTTTGTGTGTTCACATACCAAGTGCCATAAAAGTCATCAAGTTTCGTAATATTCTGATGAAGCTACGATTTTTAAATATTCAAAATGTAAAATTATTCTGTCAAAAGTGACCGAAGACCGCACAAGTAATCAAGTAAATATGATAAAAGTGACAATAACAAAACATGCACAGCAAAATCTCCAGTGTTGAAATCCTGGTGACAGCTCATTATGCAGCTCATTATGCAGGCCTTTGTCTTCTCAGGTGTGAATCACAGCATTATGCATGATCATTCACGCCTCCTCGCATATACCTTTTCTACACAAAAAGTGTCTTAGAAAATTTAAATCAATATATTGTTTTCTGTGAATGAGTGAGTAAGATGATTTTCACATAATTTTGAAGCAAAAACTCTAGACTTCAAGATCAGTTCTCAAAAGTCTTGTGATCAAATGTTCTGTATGTGTTTTATGGCCTTATTTCAGTGACTTTAAAATTGTAGTTTTTCACTAAGCACGCATAAACGTTGTTTTCTCAAAAACACAATCACGTACATACATGCTGCTCACATATTATTGTAGCCCAGTTTGTGCTGATTACGGTGTTATTAAACTTTAGACATTCAAATGTTTGTAAGCAACTGAAAAAAAGCACAAATGTCAGGGCGTGTCAAAACTTTTCCAGGCCCCAAAACACCCTCAGACCCCAGAGGGTTAAGGACCCTGAGAGTAAAGAGTTAAAGTTCTGGTGTTGAATTTCAAGAGACTAACACAGCTAGTTTAAACAGAAATTACAGTCAGTTAAATCTTATCATTAACACTGTGAATGTTATTACTTACATACGGGATATTTACGCGCCTAAACCAGCTGAAAGATTTCTCACAGACGCCATTCGAAATGCAATGCAGTGCAGACGCGGAGGTTGACTTTAACATGAAAACACCAGAAGTAGCCTACCTCATTTACGATATGTATTTTAATAACATCAAAACTTTTAAACTTTTCTCAGAGAGACATTTGACTCGCGATGCGGAGGAGACGCGGAGGTCGCTTTTAACAGGGTAAACATCTAAGGTAAGTGCTTTACCTCATTTGCAGTATATATTTTGCAACATGATACTGTGAAATCAAACCATTGTAAACGGCCCAAATCTAAAATGGCAAAATATCAGTCATTAGTTCTTGTGTGTCTCGTGACCAAATATCATGATATCAGTTTTGATGATGTTGATGTGTCGCTTTATTGGACTTGAGTGCTGTTTTCATTTAATTAATTTGAAAATAATTATTTTATTATAATAATTTATTATTATTATATATTATTCTGTACCGAGTTAATTAAATTGTTAATCATTCAAATGTTGTGCCTTCACAAGACTTATGGAACGAGTTGCATAAACTACTGACACTTTATTATCTTTTTCTTTTTAAGCATTAAAGTGTTTTGTGTTCAGCAAAAGTGAGTCGTATGGGTTTGGAATTACACTTTTGAGTAAACTATTCCTTTAATATTGTTACAGATGGTTCATGCTGGCTTAACAGAAAAATCAAAAGGAGCTGATGTGCTTGAAGAGTATATAGCCACCAATCGAGTGGAATGAGAAGAGCTCTTCAACACTGTTAAGACACATAACAGAGAAACACAGGTAAGCCTCAAGCCCACATTTAAGATTAAGACTGTTTTTAGTATGCTTGCTCTGTCACTTATTTATGTGCTGTCCCATACATGTGCACTCATTTTGATACGAGTCCAACCTCAACGTAGAGAAATCAGTATGCACTTGGAATTGTGAATTTGCTTCTGTTGTTAAAAGACCCATTTTCCAAAAGGTCTGACTTTCTTTTAACAGTGAAATAAATGATTTTCCTTAATTTGTTCACCTGAATTGTCATTTACTTATACTCACGTCATTCCACAGAAAATGTTAATTTAACACTGGGCAATGAGAATTATATAAACACCAGGATAGTGTTGAAATTAAATCACACAAAGTTAAATTAGGCCTAACAAAAGTATACAGCAGAACACACAAAAACAGAAACATCTAACAAAATGCATAGCAACGCCCTAGCAACCACCCTAACAAAACCATAGCAACATGCTAAAAGTAAAAAACACACCAAATACCTTAGCAACTACATAGCAACACCCTAACAACCACCTAAACACCCTAACAAAACCATAGCAGCATGCTAAAAGTAAAAAAACATATCGAATACATAGCAACACCCTATGAACCACCTAAAACAGTAAAAAAAAAACACTTTAGCAACTGCATAGACAACTAGCATTAAAAGCATTAAAATGAAGCTCTCAAATTTCTTCTAAGTAAAATATCTGTAAACAAATTGTTTACTGTCACATGGCAGCAATGTTTCTTTATACGGTGCTGACAGACGCCCATCATGACGCCTGACATGAAATCCAGCATTAGAGATGAAGATATGTAAACACATGAGCCGCTTCACTCCTCTGTGAGTGTCAGCTTTCTCTCATGTCCCATCATGCTCTATGTATAGATCAGCTCCAGTAACCAGACACTGGCTGGGATCAAGCGCGGGATGAAACACCACACATGACACCAGCACCCTCCACTCTGACACCTCATCAACACACCACTAATGCAGCAAACTTCATTTCTTCACGATCTATTACGATCAGCCGAATAAGTTACACTTAAACGGAGTAAAAGATAATGATGACTCATTGTACACTGCACAGATTTCTGAAACACATGAGCCGCTTCACTCCTCTGTGAGTGTCAGCTTTCTCTCATGTCCCATCATGCTCTATGTATAGATCATCAGCTCCAGTAACCAGACACTGGCTGGGATCAAGCGCGGGATGAAACACCACACATGACACCAGCACCCTCCACTCTGACACCTCATCAACACACCACTAATGCAGCAAACTTCATTTCTTCACGATCTATTACGATCAGCCGAATAAGTTACACTTAAACGGAGTAAAAGATAATGATGACTCATTGTACACTGCACAGATTTCTGTCCAATCAGATGCTCTCTAGAATAAGAAAGCCCCTTCTCCTATAACCACCTGCAGCTGACTAACATGAAGCAAATCATGCTTCAAAAACATTAAGCTAAGAAAATAATCCACAAAACAAAACTAAATATGATATATATACTATATGATTTATGCATTTAGCAGACGCTTTTATCCAACGCGACTTACAGTGCATTCAGGCTATAATTTTTTTTTTCTACTAGTATGTGTGTTCCCTGGGAATCAAACCCACGACCTTTTGCGCTGTTAACGCAATGCTCTACCATTGATGTTTCGTCAACCAATGTATGTGTGTTTTACAATTAATAATGTTGTTGATTCATATTTATATTGTGAGGAAGACTTGTAAAAAGACCTTTGATTTCAAACTCTGAATTGAATTTATTTTAACTAAAAAAGACAAGTAAACTGAGTAATAAAATAAGAATAGATAAATGACAAGCAATGGCACAAACAAATACAATAAGATATAAATAAAATTAACTGTGCTTTAAGTTTTGCAGGTAGGTATAACAGTATTATTCAGGTACAGAAATACCACAGAAACCAGTGTTATTTTAATGACAAACAGCAGCAGGTTTATTTAGGTTGCCGTCTCTTTAAGACCTCACGTACGGATCTAACTGTTACACACTAACTTTTGTTTCTCAACTGCTTACATTCACTTAATAGCCTATATATAGACAATGTTTAGTATAAATCTACTGTTTATGTGAATACTCAAGACGGGTATTTTGACATGATTTTATATGTATTTGGCCGTTTACGCACAATAAAGACTTCATTCTGTAGTCGCATGCTCTCAGATGTGGCTCTGTGTGTGCACGCTTTGGGTGTGAGCTCACAGAAAGGTGTCTCACAAAGAGCGCGCAAGTACTGAATTGAGCACCAGAATGTTTCAAATTGTAAGACTCAAAAGCACATGCAAATGATACATTCCGTTATCTGTCCCAAGCATCTTTCACGCTGAAATATTTGCGGGAATTTACCGCGTTACAAGCGCGGAAACTGCGGGAATCAGTAGAACCCTGTGCCGAAAATCAAGCCCCGAATATATATATATATATATATATATATATATATATATATACACACAGTATATTAATTACTGTTCGTAATGTGTGAAATCTGCCTGAATGAGTCAAAATGGTGGAAATATATATGGACGGAAAACAGTAATCAACTCATGCACTCACACACACACATCATTTACGGTCACTTAAAATGACTTGAAATGTGAGAGAGCTGGATTTTAACAAATAAATTAAATTTCAACCAATATTGGCCAAGGATTTGATGGCTAATGATTATTATATTAAATAAATAAAACGGGTAACAAAACAAAACATACTAAATATTCCTGTTACTTTATGATGTTACTTCATTACATAAATATAAATAAACAAACACACACATATATATGCTAAAAGTAAAAATATTTTACAAATACACACACACTTATTGCATTTGAAATGTGAATATATTGTAACTGTAAAATAATTAATTTTTGTGATCAAAGCTGAATTTTCAGCATCATTACTCCAGTCTTCAGTGTCACATGATCTTCAGAAATCATAATAATATGCTGATTTGCTGCTCAAGAAACATTTCTTATTATTATCAATGTTGAAAACTGCTGTGCTGCCGAATATTTTTTGTGAAAATTGTCATACACTACCATTTAAAAGACTGGGATGAGCAAGATTTAAAAAAAATTTATAATAATACTTTTATTCAGCAAGGATGCATCAAATTGATCCAAAGTGACGGTAAAGATAATGTTACCAAATATTTCAGTTTCAAATAAATGCTGTTGTTTTGAACTTTCTATGCATTAAAGAATCCTGAAAAACATAATCAGGGTTATCACAAAAATACTGATAAGTTCACCATTGATAATAATAAGAACCATTATTAATAACTGAGCACCAATATTATTTGAGAATAACTGAGCAGCAAATCAGCATATTAGAACGATTTATGATCATGTGACATGTTGTTCAGCTTTACATCAAAGCAATAAATTACACTTTAACATATATTCACATAGAAAACAACTATTTTAAATTGTAATAATATTTCACAATATGACTGTATTGTTCATCAAATAAATGCAGCCTTGGTGAGCAGAAGAGGCTTCTTTCAAAAACATTTTTAAAAAATCGTAATTATTTCAAACTTTTGACTGGTAGTGTGTGCATGTGCTTAGGTGTATGTCTGTATACAAGGCAAAAGCCCCACATAGGGATATTTGTATATAAATATGAATTATATACTACAGATGGACTACAGATCAAGGCAAAAGCCCTAAACACAAGGAGGAATCTTGGGTAATCCACTAACCTGTACGCTGCTGATGCCGGTCCCTGCTTACTGGAGGCAGGAAACACATGGTGCAGATAGTCACTCAGTAGCTTCTCATTCACAATACCTGAAAAATACACATCAACAAAACTGAGTTCTTCCTGTAGATTTGATCAATAGCCCATTTACAGTGGGTTTACTTCAATAAAATCTCTTTATAAGGACACACCTGTGACTTTGGGTTTGTCCATGTCAGATGCCAGGCGATAGCTGCGTCGGGACAGGGCAGTGCCACCCTTTGAGCTCATACTGCTACTAGACAGATCAACTATAAATTATATCATACATCGTATTTATAAATAAAAAAAATCAGTGTTACAGCACTATAGATACAGTGCTAGAGGTTTAACATATTTACAGACCATGCTATTTACCAGAGTAAATGATACACATATATCAAAGTAATATATCAAATAGTAATATATCAAAAACATGGTATGGTAGTCCAAAAATATTCACGGTAGGCCTGCTTTCTGAGATGATTATGTTATGACTCGGAGTTCAAGCTGTCAATAATAACAATACAGATAAATGCTGACAAGCAGACTAGAAATCATTTTGACAACAGTCTTAAACTACAATAAAACCTGCAAACAACTTAAAATGTCAATGTTTACATGCTGTTGTCTGAGCAAACATATACAAACATACACACAATGTAAACATAGTCTCTCTTTAGCCACTATCCCGCTAACACTGTGGCATGAACAACATTAAGCATATGTTTATGACCGATATAAATATAATTTAATGACTGCCGGGGGTGTAAAATGCCCAACACATGTGCAAGAAAAAACATATTTAATGTGTTTCAGCCTCCGTGTTGAACACATATGACAGGCAGAGCTGCTATGATAACACGCAAAATCTAGCATGCGCAAATAAAGCGACGCTAGCTTAGCTTATTGTTTGGTTCATTTTTCCTGCAGTACTCACTGATTTGGTGTGCTGTGTTTATTTGTGATCAGCAGATTGTGTTGTTGGGCTCTCCTCTTTAAACGTGTCTACAGTCACTGCCTTTAACTACAGAAACGCAACAAGCGGCAGGATGGCCATCAACGAACGGGAGAGATCAAATGGGCGGGGCTTGGTGGCCCGAAGGCCGGCTCTCATTGGTCAGATACGATTTGTTTATATAATAATTTTCTAATCTTATCTAGTCTCTGTCTGTTCTTGTGTCAGCGTCATTTATATTTTCTAATGCCGTTATTTATGTGTAAATTATTGTCCGGGATTTTGCTACAAGTATTTCTGAGACGGTTGACACGCGCTTTTTAGGACGGACCAATCAGAGACGTTTAATTAAAACATCATGAAGAGTTCTGTAAGCGGTTTTGTAAATCAAGTGTTTATACAATTCAGTGTACAACATTCTGCTATAACACGGAAAGATTTCAATACGATGCATTAGGGCATTATGAGCCATGAAGAGCCCCCTGCTGGAATATTATAGTGTGACTCGTGAGAAACAGTTATTAGCCATTCTCTTAAACACATACGATTCACGGCTATGGAGCGCGTTTTAGGACAAAATACGTTTAGACATGAATGCGAATCATAAAATCCATAAAAGACCACTGGGCGGCAAATGTTTTCGGATAACGTAACTGTTTCCTATGTGTTTATTCCTCTAGGGGACGCTCGGGGATAAAAAAGCCGAATCCTCAGACGAATTTGTCTTATTTGGAAACATGCGTGTTAAAAACGTATATTGAGTTAAGTCTATTAATCGTCCGTACCTGACATGCACATTACAATTAGTTCCACTCTGCATTTGATTAGATTAGGAAATCATTAATCACAAGAGACTGCGATTGGCCCACCGTCAACAGCGGTGAGAAAAGTAACAGTTGTCACATGACTCACCAATCGATTAATTTAAAACGCACAATAAAATGTTATGGAAAATTATGACATTTGGACGTATCATGTCTATAAAGTTAGCAACAATATCTAGAATGATAAGAACTGACCGCTTCAGATATTCATAACTGTAATAAACATGCATGCACATTACTAGCGAATTTTAAAAAATGTCAACAGTGTAGCTGTGTATGAAACAGCTTAAATACAAGTCGGCTTTAACCAAGCACCTTGCAAAATCTGTAAAGGAAAAAATTTCGCGGAAGTCACGAAGACTGGATTTTGCTGGCGAAAATTCAGTATAACAGTAGATGACACCCATTTGGCAGACGTTTTCACATCTAAAAATACTGTAAGTTATATTTTAGGTATAGTTTTAGCCTGTAGTAATTATACTTAGATTTATATAAGCGCAAGAGATGTAGAAGTGTATGGTAAATGTGAATGCATAACAACTCATTCAATTACAGTGGGGCAAATAAGTATTTGATACACTGCCGATTTTTCAAGTTTTCCCACTTTTCAAAGAATGTGATTCCAGAAAATCACATTGTATGATTTTTAAATAATTAATTTCCATTTTATTGCATGAAATAATTATTTGATACAATAGAAAAAATAGAACTTAATATTTGGTACAGAAACCTTTGTTTACAATTACAGAGGTCAGACGCTTCCTGTAGTTCTTGACCAGGTTTGCACACACTGCAGCAGGGATTTTGGCCCACTCCTCCATACAGGTGTTCTCCAGATCTTTCAGGTTTTGGGGCTGTCGCTGGGCAACATGGAGTTTCAGCTCCCTCCATAGATTTTTATATTGGGTTCAGGTCTGGAGACTGGCTAGGCCACTCCAGGAATCATTGATGTGTGGTTTGTTAGGATAGAGACAATATTTGGCCGAGATTGAAAAAATATGAAAATCTGGAATCTGAGGGTGCAAAAAAATCTAAATATTGAGAAAATCATCTTTAAAGTTGTCCAAATGAAGTTCTTAGCAATGCATATTACTAATCAAAAATTACGTTTTGATATATTTACGGTAGGAAATTTACAAAATATCTTCATGGAACATGATCTTTACTTAATATCCTAATGATTTTTGGCATAAAAGAAAAATCGATAATTCTGACCCATACAATGTTTTTTTGGCTATTGCTACAAATATATCCCAGCGACTGGTTTTGTGCTCCAGGGTCACATATTGTTTAACACAATGATACATCGTCAGTTAGAAAAAAATACTTTAATACATATTTAACAATGTAACGATTAGCAAAATTCTTTTATAAACTTATCAATATAAATCTGAATTTTTACCAAACTGAGAATACAAAATTGGGTGAAAACAGTATTATTGTAACTAGTTCCGTCTAGTTGAGCTGCTGGTTTTAGAAACAAATCCTCTCAATTAATGCCAGCCGTAAGGAAGACTCTTCTCCTGGTCACTTCCTCCTCTCCATATTTGGACTGAAGCTGCTCCAGTTCATATGGGTCAGCCAACAGGAGGATCTCATCATCTAGATGGGTCCAGACAAGCCCGTGAATCTCACGGTCGTACCCATCTAGCAGATACGCCTGAGCCCTAGCGAGGCCACCACTGGCTTTCCACAGTGCCTTGGTCACCTTCACCAGATCTTTCTTGGTCTTTGTCATCAAGTCCTCGACATGTTCTACCAAGTCGTTGGAGGGAGTTCCTCTCGTTTGGCTGTCGTGTTTGTCCTGTGACTCGGAGTCGAGGATGAAGACGTGGGATGACGATGCAGGGACAGCTGTGGAGCTAGGCCCTGGACGCTCTTCCTCAGGTGCTGGTGAGCGACAAAGAGCTCCTGGTGCTTCCTGTTGGGCGGCTTTGAGATGCTCAGCTTGAGTTTCTGGTTCCCCAGCTAATGCTGCAGGTGATGCTGAACTTTCACCTGCGTCTGAGGGCTTCATGACTGGCACTTCTTCTACTCCTTCACTTTCATCCATCTGTGGAAACACATGTACTGTAAGTCAGTGATGTGCGCCTTGGAGGCCTCTCCACTAAGGCAACGGTTGACAGTTTTCTAATCTGAAACACTGTTTACAGATGTATTTTAGAGAGTTCAATTAAAAACAAATGAGTCAATGACATATTAGAAAGTCCAAGAAATGGAAAAGTCTTTTTAAAAAGTCTAGTTAAAAACATGTCAAGATCTTAGAAATGTATTCAAGCTGATTTCACATGGTTTTGAAAATATTTCATATATTTTTCATTTGGAATTCATATGGTTTCATACTGTTTTCAAGAAAAGATTCAATTTTTTGGACTCTGAAAATGTCATGTGGTGTAACCAGAAGGCAAAAAAATTATTATATATATATATATATATATATATATTATTATTATTTTTTTTTTTTTTCAATTTTATTTTTCTTATATACATAATTCACATCTTAATAATTGTGACCCTGTCTGTGAAATCCAGGCTAAAGTCTCAAAATCTATTTATGAGATAACAAGCATCAAAGTTTAATTTCAACAATTAATCTCACTATGATTTCAATCTTTGACATGGCCTTACTCGGTCAATAGTAAAGATATAAAGGTATTTTCACAGAATGTTCTTTACATCTTTACGAAGGACCATTTTATGTAAAAAAGTAAAATAAAATTTTAAAAAATTGAAATCTTTTGTAACAATATACACTACCATTCAAAAGTTTGGGGTTAGTAAATGTTTCTTTTTTTTTTTTTTAATTAATACTTTTATTCAGCAAGGATTGTGTGAAATTGATAAAAAGTGAAAGTAAAGACTTATATTGTTACAAAAGGTTTATATTTTAAATAAATGCTGTTCTTGTTAACTTTTTATTCATCAAAGAATCCTGAAAAACGTATCACAGGTTATAAAATATTAAGTAAATAAATATTAAGCAGCACAACTCTTTCCAACATTGATAATAAATCAGCATATTAGAATGATTTCTGAAGATCATGTGACACTGAAGACTGCAGTAATGATGCTGAAAATTCAGCTTTGCATCACAGAAATAAATGACATCTTAAAATATATTAAAATAGAAATCCATTATTTTAAATAGTAATAATATTTTACAATATTACTGTTTTTTTTTCTGTATTGAGCAAATAAATGCAGATTTGATGAGCAGAAAAGACTTCTTTAAAAAAGAATAATCTTACTGATCCCAAACTTTTGAACGGCAGTATATATATATATAACTATAAGAAGCAATAATAAAAAACTATTCCAAACAATCTGAATTAAAATCTATCATCAGAGGTCAATTATTTGTTTATTTTTTAATTAACAGATCTGCTGTATCTAGTCAAGGTTGATGTTGTTCAGTCTTACCACATCTGAGTCTTCAAATTCTCTTGCAGCTTTTGCAAGAATCCCAAGTTTTCTCGAATCAGGCGTGGAGGCCTTGCAGGTGGTTTGTCTTGTTTTGATGGGAGATGATTGTTCATTTGGTCCTGAGTAAAAAAGTGGAGAAGGCTTATAGAAAGAACTTGTTTAGGAACAACACAATAAATAAAACCATAAATATATTATCACCATCTGAAATGTCTCGTCCATCACAATCTTCATCTAATCCAGATCTTTTGGACATTTCAGGCTCTGGCGTTTCTTGTTCTTGGACCGGGATGGGAGACTCATCCTGACTGTCATGACCTGCAGCATCAGCCACATCTGGAGGAGAACTGGCTCTCTCTGGAGAAGGCTGAGGGTCGGTCCTCACAGCTGGACACACGCTGTTCTCGGAGGCGATTTGTGTTTCAGATGAATCCGGCACAACGACAAACTTCTGAGGAGAGTTTTGTAAGCCATCACTCTCAGGTTCTGAGCTCTGAGTGACTTTCTTCTTACTCAGAGGGCTTTGCGTGAAACAAAGCGGTTTTCTTTTCGTGGGACTCTTCTTCACGAGCTTATGCTGGAGGTGCTTTAGAAACCGATCCCTCATGGACTGCCAGCTGTGCTCGGTCACATGCCGTTTCTCCATCTCTTTCCAAACCAGGTTGCCTTTGGCTTCATGTTGCCGCTTTTCCATGATCTTCAAGATGGCTGCGTCGTCTTCAGGCGAGTAACCCAACCGTCCATTGCCTTGGTGCCGTGTCGCCATCCTCGTCTGGACAGACGGTCCCGTGCTAATCACATAGTCGTCCAGATTCAGCTGCTGGT